ATTTAAGTGCATTTTTCTTATTTTACAAATGATCTGCCAATAGGGTAAGAAAAATACGGCAGCGGCTATTTACACTAAGTGGAATTAACATACTTTCTTAGCGATAGATCCTAGGCTAAGTGGGCTAAGTGCAAATAGCTCTAGATGCTATTTACACTTAGTGAAAATCGTGATATATTCTATAAAAGTAGCAAGCATTTTCTTCATTTTTATTGAAAATAAATTCTAATGTGATGGGAAAAGTGAGAAGAGCTGGATTCGAACCCGGTAAATCACATCACAAGCTAGTTCCCCGCACTCAACGCGTTACTGCCTATGCCACTGTAGACGTTAATCTCGACCGTTGTATTTAACCTTGTGTGACATTGGAGGGCGGAGCTACAGTAAATTTGCACTTAGTAATAGACACTCCAAATAATCTTGTTTTCTATTTGCATTAAGATTATTTTTATTACCACACTGGCAGATAATTATACTTAAGTAAAATGCACTTAATTTAGATCCCCCCCAGGAAACAAGACTAAATATCTTATATCACTTTCTTATATAGAAAATCCATCTTGATTTAAGAATTTTTAGATATTTGTACTTGAAATAAGAAAAAAATACTTAGTAAGAAAAGCATCTTTGCAGCGTGCATGAATGAATGAAGTATTTAAACATCGCTTGCGCTTTAAAAAGGGGAAGGAGACCGAAAGAAACTCTGGGTTTACCGAAGAAAACCTGCTCCCGACCAGGTTAGGTTCACAGAGTAAGTTACCTCTCTTTCAGAAATGGGCTTGACTTACCCTGCTTTCTCGGGTTTGGCATACCTCCCATTCTGAAACGGAAACAGAACCCAGAGTTTCCCTCATTTCAGGGTTAACATACTCAGAGTTTTCACTTAACCTCCTTTCTGAAACGGACCCCTGAACATACAAAACATCAAAAGAAAGAACAGGGTATCTGCTTGTAAACAAAAACATACCGATGTCCTTACTACGTTTCTGGACCTGGGAACATTACAGTTGCGTTGCTGTCTATGCAGGGTCTGAGAGCTCTCACATTTCATCAAAAATATCTTAATCTGTGTGCCAAAGATGAACGAAGGTCTTACGGGTTTGGAACGACATGAAGGTGAGTAATTAATGACAGAATTTTCATTTTTGGGTGAACCATCCCTTTAAATTTCATTTTAAGTATATTTCTGAGAAGTACATAAAGCACATTTCTGAAAAGTATAAAAAGTAGACTGAAAGCATACGTTCCTATTTTTAGTTTAAAAGAAGTATACTAATAGCACACTTGAATAAACTTGACTCTTTCCCCATCCCATTCTCCTCTTTCGTCTCCAGTTGTTTCCTGTCTCTATCCTAACTTTCCTATCGCAGAACGGCCAAAAATATAACTTAAAACAGATACTTGGGTGTACTACACTCAACACATCAAATTAACTAAACCTTCAGAGGTGGTGCAACTGATATGGCAGGACAGAGACATTTCTAGAAATTCTTGGAATGTGCAGACGAACTCTCTCAGACAGAGTGGAGCTGTCTCTATGCACAGAGTGGTGGAAAGTGTGTGGATGATCTAGTGCATTGTCAAAATAGCCTTTCTTTAAGCCCACATAAGAGAGGGCCCTGTAACTCATTTCCACTCATAAAACCCCTGTGGACCAGTAAGATGTCGTCAGCTGTAAGCAGTCATCAGCTGAAGCTCACATTCATGAATTAATATGTGATGAAATGTTTCTGCAGAAGCTGATGGATCCCAGGAGTCACAGAGATTCATAGGTTAATGAGAAACATAAGCCTCAGTGGTCGTAACAATCCGTACCTCACAGAACTGTTGGTGAGGAGTGAAGCTAGCAGAGCTCCGCTCCATGAACCCAAACCACAATAACACAAACTCAGGGAAGATATTTGACTGGCCCCCAAACCTCCAGTCAGCAAACCTTTCAACCCTTCCTGTCCCATGCTGAGAGAAAAACAGACAGGCAGACAGAGAAGAGAGGTGATTATTAAACCTTTAAAAACACACTGAAGATGGGAAAAAAAACACTTGCTGAAACTAGTGAAACAAAGTGCTAAATATTTTCCAAAGTATACTCTAACTCAGTCAGTAGGATGGCATTGTAAGGAGCCATTCACACAAAACACATTCTTGTGTAAAAAAGTGGAACAAAATTGCAAGGTCTAGAGACATTTCTTTTAGGAATTCCTTTAACCTCTTTTAAAGTGAGCAATGCATTTTTATACCAGTGTGTCAGGCGTGAGATGCTGCAAAAGAAACAAGATGTGAGTGCAATGGTCAAACACGTCGGTCTAGTTAATGTTTACATGCAACCAATGGAACACCAGCACACTGAAATGCAAAAATATGTTCTGTGTGAAAGGCCTCTAACAAATAGTAATTCCAGCTATGCCAAAGTTATGGGTTTGAGGATTATGGCAATTAAACAAAACAAAACAAAAGTAATTAATGACAGAATTTTCATTTTTGGGTGAACTAACCCTTTAAGTATACAATTTTTTCACTAGGGTATATCTACATCTACAGTTGAAATTAAAATCTGAGGGCCACTGTCCTCCAACTATGAACCAACACCTGAACAATTTAAACTAAGTCTTCAAGATCCAAATTAAAATCTACAGGACAGTGGCTCTCCTGGAGCAGAGTTGATCTATTACCTGCTAGGTCATTTTCAGATTGAGGGCCTTGGCACTCAAAGCCCCCATTGGCTCAAAACAAGGCTGAAAAATTGTAAGACAATGCAAGTTGGCTTCAAACTAAATGTTTGTTGATAGGCCTACATTCTGTACTGTATATATCAGTTTTAAATAATAAAAAAAAGTTTAGAATGTGATTTCATCTCTCAGGTTTTTCTTACAGAAGTTACAAGTCTTATAGTGCTGGAAACATCATCAAATGTTTTGGCAGTAGCAAGTAAATCTCCTGATTTTAGTCAGTTCTTCATGGGTTTGACAACCCGCCATAGCCTCAGAGGTATTGCGGTTCTTGTTGAAAATACAGACCAGTGGTAGGCAGCCAATCGCCTCACGAACTAAAAAGCACCACCACAGTGATAAGAAGTCAAATTTTCTATATCCATAACAGAACAGAAGTGTCTCTGTGGCAAAACAACGTCTTCAGTTGCTTCTGGTCTAAGCAAAATCTCACCCAAAAATGACAATTTGATCATCATTTACTCCAATTCCTCATGTCGTTCCAAACTTGTGTGCTTTTTTTTTCATGAAACACAAAAGGAGACTTATATAGCATACTGATTTCTCTTTGCCATGCAGCTACAGTGAAAAGGAATTGCATAAAAGTATCATGAAAACATTGCCAGAAATTAACGGGGGCTTGGGGTAAAAATGCCACAAAAATAAACAAATATTCCCCACAAATTTAAGGGGGCCCTGCAGAATTAAACTAAGATGATTACAATTATTGTGTTTAAAGTTAAATGTGAAAAATGAATGAAAAGTGTCACTTTGCAGTAGGGCTGGGCGATTTTTCCGATTTTATCGATTAATTCGAATTGAATGTTTTGCCACTATTTTATTTTTTATAAATCGAGGAATCACGATTTTGAATAGAAATATTACCAAACGTTAGAATTAGACACTTTTGACAATATGCCAATGGTAACAGTAAAGAGAAAAGAATGATCCAACCGCATGTCGGCGCACGTGATTAACTGTCAAATGCGTCCATGTTTACATAGAAAAAAACTATGGAAAAGCAGCGCAATCGAATGAAAACCTGTAAAGAACTACTACTGTATGTATGATATTTCATGTTTGCATCATGGTGACAGGCTGAAAGCTGCTGTTCATTGTTTTTACAGAACATTTATAGTTTCCTGTTTCGTAACAGAAAGTCATATTTTGATTTGAAACCCCATAACATTTTCCTGAGATGTTGATTTATGACACACAGTTTAAATTTTTTTTTAAATGATTTAAATGAAAATTACAAAATATCATATTTCCATAAGAGTGTCACTAAATTAATATCAGACATTTTTCAAGACTAAGGAGAGGGAGTGGTCATGGTGAAACATCCAAACATTTAGTTTCTCTGAAAAGCTGAATGTGCTCTGTACAGGACATCCAGACGTAAAACTGTGGCATGTACAGTCTCAGAGAAATTCACAAAAATATAATGTCCTCATATGAGGATGCAGGGTCTCAGGAGGTTAAGGCTATTTACATTATGCAACTGTTGTGTAAATACATATATGCCACCTTTAAGCAGCATTAAACAGTTTGTCGATAACATTTTATTGGTAACAGTTTATTGTATCCTGACTGATTGAAGTAATTGGATAAATTTATGCATCTGACAAAAGACAACACAGATATGTTTAATAAGGTAATTATTTAAAAAATGTCCTTCAATGTAGAAATCAATTCCAGGATGCATATATTTTCTCAAGAGTATGCTAATATTGATAATGCATAAAAGTATCATGAAATTGATCCCATAAGACATACAGGTTAATGTTTTTTAAATTTGTATTGCCTTAAGTATGTAAAATGATGTGGAAATGCACAGACAAAAAGAATGTGAATAATGGAAAGGGAGAGAGAGAGAAAGCAGGTGCATTTAACATGTAAAGCCAAAATGTTTTGCAACAAAATGCAGAGATGATAAAAAAAAAATAAAAAAACTGAAACCTGAACCTGAAATTGTTGTGTAATGCAGAACTCTTTCCAAAGCTAAACTGATCCGGTGTTAAGTTAACATGTTAACAGTTATGCCTCATTACCATTTACTGCTGAAATAAAAGACACATATCTTACTGTGAATGATGTGGCTGAACAAACTTTTTTTTTTGTTTGCACAGGAAGGTTTGGGTTGTATTGCAGCAGACTTGGTTGCCCTGGTGTACACTTTCTCTCTCTTTTGTGCTGGAACAAGCATCCTGAGGCTAAATGATTTCCATAAATGCCAATCACAAAACTAGGATATACAGTAAAGTGAGATCGGTGCTCACCAGCTCAACTATATCTTTTTGCTTGAGAGACTGACTCCAGATGTGGAATTCTTGTGCATGTGTGTAACGCTCGTCTCGTATAGCCATTAACAGAGGCTGAAGGCTGGGGAGAACAACGTCTGCAGGCCCGCAATCTGGCAATGACAGCGTTATCTACAGGGGAGGGAGAGGGACAGACAGAGGCAGTGAGTGAGAAGGAGATGCGTGCAGCAGACATTTTAACAGAACATTCATATAAAGGGAGTCACTGATTAACAGGTGAGTCTCATTAAATCTGTCAATGAACATGTCCATTTCACCCCAAAAAGATAAGAAAAAGTGACCGTGACATTATTTTAATGACAACTGAATACATTTCCCCTGAACCCTGTATTGTAATACAAAAAATCTATATTTCTTTTGACTGTAAAGCACAAAAAGCGATGTAAAGTAAAATCTCATCGGTTCCTACAGGTCATGTGACTAAATATCATGATGTTTCAGAAGCACAGAGGTTTGACACCAGTTGAGGCGATCAATAAATTAATTTAAGAGGAATAGAGACTTACATTTGCATCTGTTCACACATCATCTGTTCATAATACATGGCATGGCTTCAGAAGAATATGTGCCAGTATCCACAAATTTTGCATTTCAAATAAAGTAAGAGAAATTCAATTAAATATGTTACACAAAATGTATCCAACTAACATTTTACTCTTTTATGTTTATGGAAATTTGAAAATAATATTGAGGAATATTTATGTCATTTGCTTTCTGACTGTCAAATTGTACAGACTTTATGTATGTATGTATGTATGTATTGATTGATTGCAAAAACGAATTTAAGGAAAACTTTGACACGTTGACAATTTTGTAAACTTTATCATTCTGAATGCCAAATTCTTTGATCACAAATGTCCATTGTTAAAACCCCCTCCATATGTGAAAAATGTAAACGTAAGTAAGTAATTAAATAAATAAATAATACTGGAGTGTTATGGATTCATTTCACACTTGAAAGGTTTGGAGCACTTTCATTACATGGACAAAAACAATTGACTTTCATAACAAAAGCAGCTTAAACATACCTCAATATATATATTGTGTTATGCAGTAGCAAAAGTTTGATTTTTGAGTGAACTAGCCTATTCCTTTCAGTAATCTTAACAATCCAAGCTAACAGTTCATACATTTTGAATGGACTTGAATTTCAACTTCTCGGTTTCCAGCCCACTTCATTAGCCGCATTAACAGTTTTACTCTGTAAAGTACCTTTCTGAGAAGCTCCTTTTTGTCGATGTGGTGAAGAATGTCCTGTTTGAGCACTGCACTGGGACAGCTGTCAGTCTGCATGCAGTGATGCTCGTATCTTCTCCAGAGCTCGCGGAGCTGCACCACTACATCATCGGCGGCGCTCGACACTGCAGACTGCGCCTTTCGCATTATGATACTAAACACTTTTTAGGACATTAATTAATTAAAGACAGTTGATGGGTTAACGTTAGAGTTTTTCTAACGAATTAAACGCATTTAAACATATCTAGCGGCACGTTATCAACTTTGTTTTGGAACGTGTCAGCGTTCCTCAGAGCTCATAGCAACATTTCATAGCAACAGCAAAGCAATACAACACGGCTGGATCCTCCCTCGCGCCAATTACTTTTTATAGTTGCACTCTAGCCTACTGATTTTGTGTAGGCTTACTTTGTGTATCACATTCCTGATATCACACGTTAAAGGGTTAGGGGAGAGCGGGGCACAAAGTAACACTTTTTGACTTTCTCAAATTGTGTAAATCCACATGGGGTACAGAGTAGGCCTATATATTTTTTTTTATCCACAGTAATTTCACACTTGTCTAGTACAAATATGTCGCTTTGTTTCGTAATTACAGTGTATACGTTTTTCTTTATTTACCCTCAAAAATTGGAAGTGAAACGTGACAACATGCCCCGTAGGTAACATCGTAAGTAACATCTGAGGGGCACGTTGTAACATGACCATATGACA